ACGTTCAAAATTCTGGGTTCTTTTTTGAACAGCTGATAGTTTAATTCTTCCCATTAAGTACTCCTATGAAGAGAGACAATCTATTACTTTGCCCGGACTAGGGAGAGAAAGGCCAGTGTATGGAAACGCTACGGCCGAACGAATAACGAAACCTGCCAGCAGAGAGAATCTCAGTGCTGTCTGAAAAGCAGAAGCGCTTTCTAGATGAGCACTTTGCACACATTCAGGCTGCTTAGTGACAAACTCAAGGACTCCTCTAATGCCTCTATAAAGCACAGTCTAGGTCGGCTTCCAGCTGGTAACGAGGCTCATATTCTCTAGTTGTGCCCTGAATAATTTACTAGGGCACGTGACTAGTTGTATCTAAAGGCTTATCTCCCAACATGTAATACTCTAGAGCCGAATTCTCTTTACATGATTAAAGTCATGTGACTTTTGGCAGTTGGCAGGCCATAAGAGGTACTGTACAATGTGAGTCACTTACTGAACTTGAGAATAGTTATAATGAATTCCCAGAAGGACCATGCTTCCTTGAAGTTAGAGGGAAGAAAGTGAAGAAAGCTTCACTCTGAAGGAAAGTTAAGACAGACAACTGCTCACATGCTCTCCTTTTCCTTTTATGCAAAGGTAACTCTCTCAGTATAAGCAACAGAAATGAGGACGACATGTTCTCAAAGCAAATATTAATACAATTTTCATTCGTTTTATGAAAGGAGCTAAAAGCATATCAGTAAAGTGACAAATTTCATTTGTTAGTCATAGTGAACATTTAACACATTATTTTCTTAAAGTTGCTTAAATGAGACTGTGTAGGGGAGGATTTGCTAATGTGGGTATATGTATGTATATGCAGACACACGTAACTGTACATGCATGTGGAAGCCCGAGGTTGGTACTGGTGACCCTTCTTAACTGCTTTCCACCCTTACCTTCTGAGAAGGTCTGTCACGATCCTGAGGATCATCAGTTTGGCTAGGCTGGCTGACCAATAAGCTTCATGGATGCTCCTGTTTTGGACCCCCTTTCCCCCAGTGTTGTGGTAACAGAAGCACATAGGTACCTTCAGATTCCCCCAGTTTTTTACATGGGCTCTGGGGAACTGAACTCAAGTACTCATGATTGCAGGGCAGGAACTTTACCACTGAGCAATCTCCCCAGCCTGATTGTACTTCTCGAGAGATGCAGTAATTCGCTCTGGTTCAAATACTACTGCTGTGTTGTACAGCATGCAGGGCATTGGCACAAAACAGAGATTCTTAACCTTAGAACTGCTGGCATGGTGGGTTGGGTAGTTTTCAATTGTGGGGCCTGTGCTATGCAGTCTAAACGTCTGCACCATCCCTGGCTGCCACTCCTCAGATGCCAACAGCACTGGCTTCCCCCAGTGGAGACAGCTAGAATCTTTCCAAGCTGGGTGAGGTAGTACATACCTACTAATCTCAGAACTAGGGAGGCTGAGGCCAGAGAAGAATGAGTCCATGGCCAGCCTGGGCTATATAACTAGTTCAGTTACATTAAAAACAACAAAAACCTATCTCAAAAAACAAATTCTCTGGAAGTTGCCAAATGTCCCTTGGAAGGTAGAATTGTGCCTGGTTGAAAACTACTGGCTTAAAATGTAAACTAACCAAATACCGAGACAGATCGAAAACTTAAATGTCCTTATTCTTTTCAATGAGATTACAGATAGCTACAAATCCCAAATCTTCAGACAAATGACTAAGGAGAGTTTGATGTCTATAAATGGGAAAAACAAAAACTCGATCTCATTTGGATATATAACTTGAAATGCTGTAAGTTTCAAAATCTACACTGCAATAATCTAACAAGTGTTCAGATTTTTTAAAATTTATAACCAGTTAACATAAAGGCTTTCTCTCTCTCTCTCCCTGCATGTGTGCATGTGTGTGTCTGTGTGTGTGGAGGCCAGAGGAGAATGTTAGGTGTTCTATGACTCTTATCAATCTTCTTCCCTTAAGACAAGGTCTCTTACTGAACCTGAAGCTTGTTATTTTTCAGCTAGGTTATCTGGCCAGCAAGCCGAGCAAACCTTCTGTCTTTCTCCAACCCCCTGTCCATAGGACACTGAGTTTTTACATGGATGCTGGGAATCAAGTCCTCATGCCTGCATACCAAGTGACCTTATCCACTGAGCTATCTCCCCAACCCAAGAGATGAATATTATGTTGATACTCAGGGCTGAATCTCAATTAGAAAGGTTGGTTCTGCTCATTCTGTAAGATCTACTTACTTTAAATCCCAGATGTTTTTGGAGAGAACGGGAAGATAAAAGCCGCTGTGGCAGGTGTCTGCTGCAGTGCCCAGACTTCCAGCCATTCCCATGTTCCCTGCCAGCAGCTCTGTCATAGGGTCAAGGACCTGATACTGAGTCACTGTGGGGAAGGTCCACAGAGCATGTCCTCCCTTTCTGCTCTAAGTGTTTTCTTTTCTCAAGAGAATTACTATCACTAATTTTAGAGAACACTGCCTTTGTGTATTAACTATTATTTTGTCTTGTGTGCTTTTTGTTATCTTCAACAATGGTTTGTTACTTCAGAAACTGGCCTGAGACAGAAATACCCCTACTAATTCAGTTGGTCAAAAGTCCCCATTGATAGAGTACTTGCCTAGCACGTTCAAGGTTCTGGGTTCAATCCCCAACAGCAGAAGAAAAGAGAAGAAATTCTTTTGGAAGGATTCGTAGCCTTACATCACAAAGTGTCAGACCGTGTGTGTGTGTAGGGGGGTGTTTATAGATATGTATGTATGCACAAATAAGTCACAAAGTGTCAGACCGTGTGTGCGTGGGGGGGGGGGTATAGATATGTATGTATGCACAAATAAGTCACAAAGTGTCAGACCGTGTGTGCGTGGGGGGGGGGGTATAGATATGTATGTATGCACAAATAAGTCACAAAGTGTCAGACCGTGTGTGCGTGGGGGGGGGGGTATAGATATGTATGTATGCACAAATAAGTCACAAAGTGTCAGACCGTGTGTGCGTGGGGGGGGGGGTATAGATATGTATGTATGCACAAATAAGTCACAAAGTGTCAGACCGTGTGTGCGTGGGGGGGGGGGTATAGATATGTATGTATGCACAAATAAGTCACAAAGTGTCAGACCGTGTGTGCGTGGGGGGGGGGGTATAGATATGTATGTATGCACAAATAAGTCACAAAGTGTCAGACCGTGTGTGCGTGGGGGGGGGGGTATAGATATGTATGTATGCACAAATAAGTCACAAAGTGTCAGACCGTGTGTGCGTGGGGGGGGGGGTATAGATATGTATGTATGCACAAATAAGTCACAAAGTGTCAGACCGTGTGTGCGTGGGGGGGGGGGTATAGATATGTATGTATGCACAAATAAGTCACAAAGTGTCAGACCGTGTGTGCGTGGGGGGGGGGGTATAGATATGTATGTATGCACAAATAAGTCACAAAGTGTCAGACCGTGTGTGCGTGGGGGGGGGGGTATAGATATGTATGTATGCACAAATAAGTCACAAAGTGTCAGACCGTGTGTGCGTGGGGGGGGGGGTATAGATATGTATGTATGCACAAATAAGTCACAAAGTGTCAGACCGTGTGTGCGTGGGGGGGGGGGTATAGATATGTATGTATGCACAAATAAGTCACAAAGTGTCAGACCGTGTGTGCGTGGGGGGGGGGGTATAGATATGTATGTATGCACAAATAAGTCACAAAGTGTCAGACCGTGTGTGCGTGGGGGGGGGGGTATAGATATGTATGTATGCACAAATAAGTCACAAAGTGTCAGACCGTGTGTGCGTGGGGGGGGGGGTATAGATATGTATGTATGCACAAATAAGTCACAAAGTGTCAGACCGTGTGTGCGTGGGGGGGGGGGTATAGATATGTATGTATGCACAAATAAGTCACAAAGTGTCAGACCGTGTGTGCGTGGGGGGGGGGGTATAGATATGTATGTATGCACAAATAAGTCACAAAGTGTCAGACCGTGTGTGCGTGTGGGGGGGGGTATAGATATGTATGTATGCACAAATAAATGCTCCCAACCTTGCCAATACTTCCCTCCACTCCTGAGATACCATTTTATCTGACATACAGCCTTACAGAAAATGAGACATTGGAAATGAAGATTGTTTACATAGACTTTCTTCATTTTTAATGACTCACTAAAGAATGACTGCCAAATTATCAAGCTGATTCCTCAATTTCCCGTGGATATAACACTTGATCCTTGTTAGCAATGGCTGTCAAATGCTCTTGATCTAAAGTTTACTCAGGTTTGAAAACAGAAGTTGTTGGGCTTGGTTTTTTTGTTTGTTTTTCAGTTCTGGGACTAGAATCCAGGGCATCCTGTATACAAGGCAGACAGGCTACCATTGAGCTCTGCCTCCAGCCCTAAAGACAGGTTTTTATTCAGTGTTTTCTCATGTTTGAAAAATTATTGTACATATATCTCACTCTAATTTAGATACAAGCAAGCCACTTAAAGGCAAACCTGTAAAACTATCCACCTGGATATGAGGAAACACTTGCCTAGCATACACAAAGCACTTGGTTTAATCTCAACACTGCACAAACCAGACATGGTTTACATGCCTGAATTCCTAGCACTTGCTGAAGTGGAGGCACAAGGATCAGAAGGTCAATGTCATCTTTGGCTACATAGTGAATTTGAGGCCAGCCTGGGCAGTGTGAGACCTGTCACAAACATTAAAAAAACAGTTGCCTATCTTAATTTAGGTTACTCTGATATATTCATAGGGGGGAAAAGATGAGCATGTGTGTGTGTGTGTGTGTGTGTGTGTGAGAGAGAGAGAGAGAGAGAGAGAGAGAGAGAGAGAGAGAGGAGAGAGAACAATATTTCCAAAAGGAACTCAAGTTAAAATGCTTGTTACAACTCATGTATATTCTAAGCAGAAGAAATCGTAGGAATTACATCTCTGAGGTGAACAATCTCTACACATTACCAATAGCTTACCAGTTATGAAAATATCAGATACATACCATCAAAACTACCTTGTTCAGAAGCAAGTTGCAACAACTGGTTATATGTTTCAATTGAGGGCTGATAGACAAAAACTCCAGAATTGAAGCAGTCAGGCCACCCAGGGTCCGGTGCTGCCGATAACTCTTCTCTTTCAAAAAGATCATCAATATTTGTGAGGACCTGATCCAGAAAGGAGAAGGGCATTACAAAAATGTTCGGCTACAGCATACCCTCCTTAGGTTGTTCTTGTTATCCAACACAAAAGACGATGACAGCTGTCAGGCAGCCTGTGATTACTCTCCTTCATCACCTGACACTCTTTACGACACTGGCTTTATCTGAACTTTACTGTCAAGTCTTGACAGCATTCCTCAAATGAGTAATGGGTCTCCGCTGCTAAGTACATCTTTTCAGCTCTTAAAGCCACACTCACCAAAGTATCTGCATCCATGAACACACATTTAGAATACTCTGTAAGTGACCAGCAATGGAGTTTCGTCAGTGTGACACCCAACTCGGGCCTCTTCATTAAGGTTAGATGAGCAGAATCGCCACTGTCCAAGACATCTACCATCACGACTTTATCAAAGACTGTCTCTAAAGCTTTTCTGTCAAAATAAATGCCAGAAAATAACATTTAGAATCTTATCATAACAAATGACCCATCTAATTTAAGACTAATTTAGCTGCCCTATCCATCTATCACCAGAACATTCTGGTGCTTTGGCATAGTACCTCCCCTTAAATCTGTCCTGACTCACTTCAGAACAGACTGTGTTCATGTGCACATGTAGTTAACACCATAAAGTAACGAGCTATTTATGGTGAGAATGTCTTAAAATATTATTATAGGAGAACTTTTGTATTTTCTTATTTCACGTATCACTGGATACCTGGCAAATTGTGGAATATCTTTGAAAAATGTGAGTAACATTTGGTAAGAGCATATTTTTGCACCAGCCTGTGTGTTTGACAATGACATTTTATTAGTATCGATTTTGCTGACTTTTGCATATTTTAAACAAATGCTGGATAATATAATACATGCAATGAGCGCCTAAAACTAATTACTCTTGCTAAAGGAACTGACTGAGAATTGCTTGAAGTTGTGTGTCCCAAAAGAAATTTAAAGGCTTAACTATTAGATCACCATTGTTTTGGAATCCAATGCAATTGCATTTATTAGGTGTTTACCATTTATTTGGCTGTAATAAGTGAATCTTGGTCTGTGAGGTATAAGAATTTTCCATGTTCAGGGTTAACTGAGAGAAAAAGGGGGGGGGGAGGGAGGGAGACAGCGCACAAGTGCATGTAGAGGCCAGAGCCAACTTCAGATGTTCCCCCTCAGGAGCCATCAAGCTTGTTATGAGAAATCACCTCTCACTAGGACCTGGGGCTTATGAATTAGGGTAGGCTGGCTGGCTAGCTAGCAAACTCCAAGGACCTGCCTGACTCTGCCTCCCTAGTGCTCCCCAGGCACGCATCACCACATCTAGCTTTCTACACGGGGGCTGGGATCAAACCCAGGTCTTCATGTTTGTGTACAAGCACTTTACTGGGATATTAAGGAGGTAGACACTACACCAGGTAAGAGAAATGAATGACAGGGACACATCACAGAAAGTGTGTAAGAGACACACAGAAGAAAAGTAGTACTACATTCTGTCTAAAGTTCTATGAAAAATGCATGCTAGTTCTTAGAGCAAACTTGATCTTTTTGATGAGAAATGGTCAAGAGTACCAGTGACTATAGTGATTGGTGGTAGTGGAAATCTAAAATTAGATCATCTAGGTCTTAAATATATCCTCATTAATGGACATCCTAGGAGATGGCTTCTTTTGGCATCACCTTCAATAGCCACTTAGGAACAAGGTCATTAATGTGGAAGAT